GCAGCCTGGTGCAGCACATTCGGTTGCCTGGACACATCACAAGCGAGAGATTCAGCTGGGTTCCAGGTGAATCTCTGGCAAAACCGAATTGGTTTGCAACTGAATGCATTTTGATAAATTCGTGCAATCTGGTCTTAAGTAGAACATGTGGTTGACGGAAACTCGGGAACTGTACCTGACTGATGAGCCCCAAGAAAGGCAAAACCGTTCGTGTGCTGTCGATGAATTTTCAGCAACCCTATGAGTAATGCATTAAGTATTTACAGGATATTCCTCACTAGGAAGTTCCAGTACCCTAATTTCCATCAAGTTTAGTTCCTACCTGAATAGAAGTTTGCGCGTACCTTGTGGGTTGGAATTTATCTGGTTTTCTCGTTTATAATATTTGTCAAATGTTACGCCAAGATATACACTTCGACTACTTGTGCGGGACACATCGATTTACCAGCTATGGGCTGTACTGATCACGTGAACTGATAACCTCTATTCATCAGTCCAGCCAGTAAAAAAACGTCTGCGGTTGGTCAAATGGAATTCAATAACACACTGCTGGGATAAGCTTTTGTCAACAGACAGGCGTTTTTTTCATAAATCGAATCGTACCTTCAAAAAACTTTTCACACCTTCAGTATTTTATAGGTCACCTACGCGAACACTTCTAGGTTTTTTTCTTCAAAATTTTTCACTGCACAGCTTGAAAAAACGTCGCCGCAGTTTTGTTCACCGATGATTTGGGGAGATGGAGTAGATGACTGTGCATTGGAAGCGGTAGCTGATATGATAGATGAGTCAGTGGACTTCTCATTGGGGACATTGCGACGAGAGCTATGTATGGGAGACAACAGCTTGGATGTATGAGCGCCAGAGGGGGAGTGACTGGGCCATATCGGACAACGTCTCTAGCCATTGATGTGTCCTGTTTCGGGTCACGGTGCAGGGAGACGGCAATGACCATTGCAGCTTAGTTTGCTGGCAATGGCATCATCAAATCGTTCAGCTGTGTAGCACCCTTTCGGTGCCTGCCATGCCACCCGAAGGAAGCACGAGGGCTGGGATATTGCCAGGCTGCCCAAGCCTAGACAGGGGAAGTCGAGAGGCAGAGGTCGGGTTCGAACCACGGGTCTTCCGGTCAGTAAATTCGCGTTCTAACCACTTGGGCCATCTCGCACAGTGGCATCATACACCATTGCGAAGCCGTTGTTTACCTTCTCCTAGCTCGTTTCCACTCTTTACGTGGTTGTGCGAAAAGGGCTATTCGAGGAAGTCGGTCAACGGGCATATGGAGCACGTGACCAAGCCAGCGCAACTTATCGATTGTGATCAGTTCATTCATCGTGGGCAAGTTATCTCTTCTTCAGCGTTACTGATCCGGTGTTCCCACCAGACTCGGACAATACCCTGAGGACGTCCTCAACGCCTGACTCGCATGATAATTTCGTAATATGGCTATTGAGAAGAGTCGTGCGCAAGAGTATCTTCCATGTCATTCGGATTCAGACACATTCGAGTGTGTGTGCTCCGGGGAGAATGAAGCTGTTATAAACGGTTTCATCACTTAGCAAATATACACTCATTTGCAAACTAATTTGTTTTTTCGAGAGACTCACCTAAAACCTAGCTGAATCTCTCGTTTGTGATGTTTTCAAGCAACTGAATGTGCTGCACCAGGCCACCTCATGTTTCAGTCGCTACGATTTGGAAAACGTATAAACGTACGACGTTGGCTCAGAGTCCGTCATCCATGTTTGCATGATCTAGCCAAATTCGAAGCGAGGTTGGTGACCAGCGTAGGGCCAAGAAGTTCCGTCAGATAGAGCCGAACCAAGGCATATCACCCGCAACAAACTGCGATGGGTTGTTGAAGTTGGCGCGCATTCTAGGGAGTGTTCCTGGCATGTTCCAGTCAAAATAAGTTGACCGGTTGTCAATCCACGTAGAAGCTTTAGGGAAAACTGGGGTGGGATGGGGGTGGAAATCCCAACCCGACCAAAGGACACAGCATCCCTCTTACACAACTATCTTAACACTAGCTCATCCACACGGACAGAAGGTTCAAACGACGTTCAAGAGGCACCATCAAATGAACCGAACCAGAAGAACTAGATCCTAGGCTGGACCCAAACACATGTAGGTTTCCCCATCGGCCCAACACTCGTTTATCCACCATAACACAAAAATTCCTCTACCGATACCCAACAGAGATTTAGCTTGACTTAGCTGATTGGCTCTCCTTCCGCTTTGAATCTCGACCAACCTCGGAACCTAGTCACTGACAAAGCTTTTGTGTCAAGCGGAACATTGCCCGGAAATAAATCTACCGATTCTCACCAAACTTCTTCGAAAAGTTGACCGAGTGTTTGTGTGATGTGGAAATGGTTGAATGAGTTTCCATGAATGGGGCGACAGCTTTGGTACTAGTTGTACTGAAATGTGAGCATCTGGCCTAAAACTGAGCGAACATCTCAACCGGATCTCATTATTGTAAGAAAAAGAAACATGAATTGAGCTGAGTCTGTATCCTCTCGGGTTAGAATACAACCGGGACAGCCATCTACCGGTTAGTTGCTACGCATTGGTCATACGTTTAGCCTAGTGACTGGGCTAGCTTTCCTTCCAAAACAATTGTCGTGGAACTTTCGACAGTTAAACAGCCGGTGCCAGAGCGTTCTGCGTGCGTGCTTGCTACTTTCAAATGCATTAGAAGAAGGCTTCTTGGTTGTCAGACCTATTTAGTCACCAAAACTAGCATCGCCGAGGAACAGATAAGGAACGAAGGGGGGAATCGGTATCATAGGTGACAGCAGTCCATACCAGTGAAAGGAAGTAGGCCTTCGCTGCGGAGTTATTTACTAGAAAATGCCAATTGACCAGTTACAGACTATTGGACAGGGAAACAAAACTCTCATATGCATCTTGTTTATAAAAACTGACTATCCATCTTCTCCTTGAACGCGTCTTCCTGAACTTTGCTGGATATTCATTCACTGTTACTCAATCGCAAGCAAATGCTACAAAGCAAATCCACAAATTCCGCAATAGATCTCCCTTTTCAAGAGACGCAAAGCGAATTTACAAGAAGAAAACATACTACTCGCATGCCTCCTCCATCAGTAGTACCACCGTTACACCAGTACTTCACGACGGTTTTCAGCATTTATAGGGGCAATAAATGCATGCGAAAGGTTGAAAACCATAGCACAGCATCGGCACTTTTATACCACATCGGAATTCACGAGGGATGGCTTCACTACTTTCCTTTATCAAACCAAGTTAACAAAGAGACATTATAGGGCAGTTCGAAGAATGATAGAATGCTGGGAACAGTTGCGTGCCATGTTACATTGGTTGTCTGGTCACATAAGTTTTTAGCCTTGGTCGGGAAGTCCCGAATACCGATAGTAACCTCTTCCACTTTACACTTGGGGGCGAAAAAGAGGTATTCCTTCCGTGAACGGTGAAATACGAGGTATCCCGGCCATCCCAAAAGGATTACGCTTTACGTGACCTTTACTGCTGAAACGCCGTGCGCAGCCTTTAGAGCTTGGATCTAGTTCTAAGTACCGCATGCGGGAACCCGAACTCGAGTCGGTGAAACGGCAGGCGTTATCCCCCAAGCCATCCGGACTGAATTAATTTATTGCATCAACACTACGGATAAAGTATGTACTAGCAAATGAAATGTTTCACTGTGGAAGTGTTAGAGCCGACTAGTGTTCTGGATGTAAAATATGGGATCCTACCGAGGAAACACTACCATACTGGCCTCCAATGTCATTTAGGATCTTGCATGTGATTCGCTGAAGACAGACACCACTCACAAACTATACCTTGTGCCGTAGCAGGCATCCCAGTTCCGAATGCACCATGAACTCAGGTTCTTGCAAATGGATAGAATCATGATACTCGGCGCCTGTCTTGCTGTCAATGAGAAAGAATAGGTAGAAGGGCGATAACACTCTATCTTTACACTTGTTCCATCGTCTCCCACAGAGCAGTCTGTTTGGCTTTTTTGCGGACAACTTTCGCTTTGCCAGCTAATCAAGAGCGTCCATCGGGAACAGGGATGTGCACTCCCTCCACATCACTCGCGTTGGAAGCCCTCCTCTGCTCCTGGTGCGAAGGGCGAAACATCGAAATCACTCCTACGAGAGCTCCTCGGCCGCACCCAAATTCGACAGTTGACATACAGATACGCTTGCTTCCCCTACTAGGCTAATGCAATCTAATGATCGCATGTAGGCAACGAGTATTGTTGAGGTACCTTACGATTACGAAGCTCAGGCTATAAACAATGGATGTAGATTGGTCACGTCTATCTAAACGTAACCAAAGTAGCGAAGCCTGTACGTCTAGAAGCAGAAAAAACGCCGAACGGTCGCCCGAAACCCTGGATAAGCGCAATTCATGCTAAGTGTTGGTGTGCGTGCAAAAATTGTTCGTACGACGGCACTTCAAACGGAGAAACAAAGACGGGGCAGGTGAGTTTCCGGCAGGAATTTGGTCAGTCGATGGGGCGTTATTGTAAACCCTTGTGTGAGCCATTGAGTACGAAGGAGGTTACGCTGGATTCATGAAACATCCAGTTAGCTGAGCAGATCAGTCAGCCCAATCAAAGGCCCGCGCAATCGATACTAAGAGGATGCAGACTAGCATATCTCCAGCTGGATCCAGCGGGTGATCCGAGTACCTTGGATTTTTAGCTATAAATGTTTTGTTCAGACCAACTTAGTCTTATTTTCAGAATAGTTTTTCGCGCGAACAAACACGTTTAAAAATCCGCGACAAATGTGGCCTTCCCGGAATTCGGTTAGATCAGTCTCCAATAAATTTGGCCAAAGAGGCAGGCGCATGGCGCATATGGATGAGCAGTACCGATATACTACTTGAACGGTTAAAGTAGTTTGAAATTGAGTTGAACGTTGGTATCTCCATTCGCGCTCGTTCATTGCTGCCCTGAGCTTTCCGAAGATGCACCGACGATGTCATCCCGGTTAATGGGGAGACTTGCAACCAAGCAACCTAGCTGAACGAACGGGTCAACAACCATGTAGCGCGAAATTACCCAGACTTATCCGATTGAGCGACACTGCTCAACGACATGGTTGTAGAGAACGGAAAAGAAACTAGCCAGCTAGCGAAATACACTCATTTGCAAACTAATTTGGTTTTGTGAGAGACTCACCTGCAACCCAGCTGAATCTACCGTTTGTGATGTTTCCAGGCAACTAAATGTGCAGCAGCAGAACGCTTCATGTTTCAGTCGCTACGATATTCGAGATATAGCGATACGTGTATATTTGTAATGCACTACTCGACTAATTTTCAGCAACTATGAGTAGTGCATTACAAAGTAGCCGGCCGTTTTGAACCCGTTAGTGGACTGTCATAGAAAAGGTCTGATACCATAAGTAGTGTCGACAAAATCACATGAAATTTAGCTCGCGTATACGGAGTATGATGTGTTAATTAATGATTGGAAAACATAACAGTTTGGCAATGTGAAGTATACGTGACGAAACTGAGCCATGGGGTGATACACGCACGATACCGGCTTCCCATTTATAATGAACTATGTTGGGAAAATTACATTAATTATCCAAACGATATATTACATCTGCTGCACTTTGAGGCATCCCAAAGTCTTCCTGCGCCGTCTTTGAATTACTTCGATAATTTCATGGGACCAAAATAGGTCTCTTGAGATCAACTTGAACTACCTTAAGGGCTAGAAATCGGTAGAGTGCGCGTAATACGGCGCACGCCTCTAACCTCCGCTCGGAGTGACCGGAGGCATGTATGCATAGATTACGTACACTCTCATGAGTGACCCAATGCCTCACTTTCAAGTTGGCGCACGTGTGTGATAAAGCGGTAGAAAACAGGCGCGTATTGTCGTCGTCAGGCGGATGAGATGATGCGAACAGGACATACGACCAATAAAAAGTGGATATTACCGGGGCATACGAGAAAAGTCTTGTGACTCGGTTAAGTGAACTGAACAGCCGTCAGTAACGAAGCCAAATACGGAAAACCAGTCAATAGTTTGACGAGCGGCCGGCTTGCATCGACAAATTTGGAACATTTCATGACTACGTCTACGCTCAAACTCCTGTCAAGCCCGCACTGAGAGACGCCACTTAAATGAACTTGGCTACTTGGAGTGAGTAGTACGTTATTATTGAAAATTTTCGGAGAACACATGACTACTGCATCTATTGACTAGCACATGTCTCCATTACTCCTGATTAAAAATCTGGAATGGTTTTGCGCATAGGAACGCAACGTGTTTGTCGGTTATATCACTTTTTGCAAGTGGGGCTTCACATCTGACTGTAAGTTCCATGTCCGGAGTAAGAGATCGATACACCAAACGACCCTAAAACTTTGCACTTTTCCGCCTTTCGTAGCAGCCCACATAGCACGGGAAATCCACTGCTAATCTACGCAGTCCAGCTCGTCTCGAACTATAGAGGATGGTTCCAAAGTGAACCTGGAATTTTTCCAGGTCAAGCATGTGACGTTAGGAAATATCAGATGGGTTTTGCTTGTTTCTCACTTAGAAAAGCACAGCATTTATATGCGATGCAATCAAAAGCCCAATAGTACTAAAGACCGCCACGTATTTACTAACCAAATCTCCAGCTTTCTAGGCAACCGGGTGCATTTTCGAAGGTATACTACCTCAACTCAGTGACTCTCCAGTGCAGTGAAACAGGGGACCGATTGTAGAGTCAAACTCATCGGTAAATGGGTTTGATAAATTCATTATAAAATCGGGTACTAGGTCTATACGACTGATTCGAAAATTCCAGGGAGCTTCCAGTACGTTCCAACGGTGGACGATTTGTCCGTTGTGTGCTATAATATGTCTTGACTGCTGCCACTAAATGTTCTTCAAATTAGTTCCGCTACAGCTGGATATGCATGGTAATAGTCTACACAATGCTGAAGTCTTCCGAGAGACGAAGATACGGAAGTCTTCAATGGTCCAAAATATTCTTCAGGCAATGCTCCACCCAATAAACGCCGAGCTCACTCACCACAATTAACCTCTATTAATAACCTAGAGGGGTATTGTTGCCACACTCCGAGACTAGCTTTCAGGGGGTTACCAGGCACATTTATGAATCGATTACATTCTACCTTCTTGATCGATGTGTGAACGCCATCAAATGAACTTTATCCGGTGGAAGCTCGCGAGTCCACGTTTTCTTGATGGGTGCCCCATAAGTAAAACACGAAGAGGGGACCCAGAATTCATGGATGCAAATCTGAAATCATCTGCGAAATGTGATGCTTTCATCAACTTGCATGCGACTTGATGGTAGATATTTTATGACCATTGTTGACTTTCTTCGGTGTTCCTTCAACCATATTTCTAATGAAAACCAGTGGTATGCAGAGCTCGACTGCCTTGTGACGTGTCTCTCAAGAACCCGAACGTCTATGGATGAAACGTTTAGACGACGAGTTCAGGGCGCATGTAAGCGTAGATTTGCTTGAGACTTGATAAAGCTCACCGCACCGTGGCATTTTCCTCGACTTTACCCACAGGTACTCATCGACCTTGAACGAGTTCTCTGACTTCCTCTAAACACTGGCCAAACGATTGTCAGTACACCAAATTAAAAGTGAGATCACATACTTCGTATCCGTCGAGTGACTTTAATAATATTTTATGACCAAATTTGCGGTCCAGAAAGCTGTTTGCGTCCCCAAGTTGGGCCCGGGTCACTAAATGATGTGGTGAATTGCTATCAATTTTTTTTAGGGACACTACTCACAAGGTTGCTGAGAACTATGACCGGTTCCGCACACATTCGGGTCCATAAGGTAGGGAAGTTCCCAGATTTTCTGCTTGGAGTATGTTCTACTTGGACCCAAGCTATGCGAAATTCGCGACTTACATTCACTTGCACACCCAAGTGTTGATCTGCCCTCGCTTTCGACCAGTGTGCCTCTTGCACATGCAGGGAGCGAGATGGCTCAAGTGGTTAGAGCGCGAATTAACTGATCGGAAGGTTCGTAGTTCGAACCCGACCTCTGCCTCCGCACTCATCGGGTCCATTAGGTAGGGAAATTCCCAGATTTTCCGCTTGGAGTATGTTCTACTTGGACCCAAGCTATGCGAAATTCGCGACTTACATTCACTTGCACACCCAAGTGTTGATCTGCCCTCGCTTTCGACCAGTGTGCCTCTTGCACATGCAGGGAGCGAGATGGCTCAAGTGGTTAGAGCGCGAATTAACTGATCGAACCCGACCTTCGCCTCTCGACTTCCCCTGTCTAGACTTAGGCGACCTGGGAGTATCACAAACCCTCGTGCTTCCTTCGGGTGGCAAGGCAGCTAGGCACCGAAAGGGTGTTGCAGCTGAAAGGCTTTTAACGGCACGTGCACCAACCTAAAACAGGGGAGTAAATTCAAGCACGCAAACAGACTAGCGATGTTTCCACGTGTCTGCGCAATCCCATGGCTGAGCCTGTGGTTCGGACTCTGAGGAGGCACACCTAGGGGCACATGGACCCAGAAAATTTGCAGCTACCACATAAAGAGAAGGAGAAAATGTGCCTGAAACACTTCCAAGTTGGCTTCAGTACATGTTGAGACTATTCCAGGTACTCATTCAAAGTGATCCTAGTTGGCCTAATCTGACTTCTAGAGTATTCAAAGCGAGGAACGTACGGTAGATGTCACTCACATGAAGGAGCAAATGTGCCTGAAACACTTCCAAGTTGGCTTCAGCACATGTTGAGACTAGTCCAGGTACTCCTTCAAAGTGATCCTGGTTGGCCTTATCTGACTTCTAGAGTATTCAAAGTGAGGAACGTACGGTAGATGTCACTCACATAGATTTCGATGTGTTGGATAGTGTAAATTCCAAGTTGAGCAAGACACTGTCGTACAGTCACAAAAGCTATTTGAAACAAATAAACGTTCAGCTGCAACACCCTTTCGGTGCCTAGCTACCATGCTACGAGGGCTGGGATACTGTCAGGTTGCCCAAGCCTAGACAGAGGAAGTCGAGAGGCAGAGGTTGAGTTCGAACCACGGACCTTCCGGTCAGCAAATCCGAGCCATCTCACCCGCAAAACAAATGTATGTATCTAAAACTCAATTAGTCCGGTGTAATAAATTAGCTCCTGTCAGAGTAAATACTCATCCAAGTAACTAGGGTCTTTAGAAGCGCAATTTGAAGTATGTCACCCAATTACAATGGTAGCCTTTCGTTTCGTAGTCCGTCTGCCAACCTCAACGACAGTCCCACCTGAAGCCACCCAACGGCAACAGCAGTACATCGGTTTACTCTTGAAAACATGGGGTCATGAACGCTCTTATGAGCTGCACTCTATAACTGAAAACGCCTTCCTCAAGTACCGGAAAACTATGCACATCAGTTGATTCCATTGTTTTATATTTGGCTTTAACTGTACATGGGTTGTGAGCCATTTCAAGATGTTGCTTCGTAATGCACCCAGCTGAATTCGAGGGAGACAAGGAGCGATGCGGACTGCTCAATCGTTTCGTTACACTCTTCGCTAACTTTGTTATTCCCAAGAATAGTATCCGTAGTTTACCGAAAACACACCGCCTGAGTGACTCGATCAACTTGCAACAAAGCTGTAGTGTACGACGAGAACCCTTGATATACAAACCTCGAATAGCTGACACCTTGGACAGAGACGATTTGTATTTCCAATGGGCTTATGACGGAAATTCCCATAAAAACTAGAGAAAACCTACTAATCTGAACAAAGGGCGTGGTACTTGAAATTCGAACTATTCGGAAGAAGACATTGTGTCCCCACATGGTGCATCTCTCTATTAAGTGTCACTAATCATTTGTTTCGCATCAAAAGGCTCGAAGTGCAGCGGCTGTAGAGATGTGGCTTTGACAAGGCAGCGTAAAGACGAAGGAACATCAGACAACCGTTTGTGCCAACCTACTTCGTTTACAAAGCACCAAATTATGCTACTCATAATCCCGTTAGATCGCAATTCAGCTTGATGATGATGTGTTTTATGACTGCGGGTTTACTTGCGCCCGGGAGCTGTAGGCATGGTTTCCTGGATAGCCCTACGAACAGAGGTAGTAACATCACTGTCGCACAAACACAAAGCTGTTTCAATCATATTCGAAGCCTTAAAGCGAAAACAGCGGGTGAGGGAGGGACCTGGTACTTGCCTACCACAAGCATTATGGGGAGCCTACTCCTCCAGCCCCCCGATCGGACAACCTCGAAAGAAACTCACAGCGCGGACTTCACCGATATGGATAAGCTCCGAATTCTCGCAGTTTTCCGATCCAATTCACGCGTCGTCTACCTCGCAGTTCGTGTCATCCTGAGGGTAATACAGAACAACACTTATATCCGTAGACAATGTTTCGGGCATCCGTAGAACATGGCCGAGCAACCAATACTGATGGCGCGAAATGCGCAAGCCAGTTCACGATTCTCGACAGAATAAGACGGACACAGTACCTTGCGAAAACACGTGTAACACCGCAGAAAACAAACTAGGCCGAACGTTTACGTTAAATTGTCCTTGAGTTAGTTCATATTTAAGTTGAGCATGCTTGTCTTTCACGACGGCTTGAACTTTAGCCGTGCTAAGAAAAAGAATACCTTCCAGCCCATTCATCTCAAGAGATTAACCGTTATCGTGGTGCAACGGTTAAGGGATCCTCTGGGATCACCAGCAGTGACAACAGTGAGAATGTCGTTGCCTAGCTGTCGAACAACCACGTCAACTCGTTTGGATAAATCTACGCAAGTAGATAAGGAGACAGAGGCTTAAATTATTATAAGGACCTGAGGTGTCCACACTTTCGAACATTCGCCCGATCTGGACAGGAACTGGCAGAATAACCTCGACTAATGACCGCATCCCATAACATCTCCGGCACAGCATAGGATAAAAAAACATCATGGGAAACTAGACAGCACCTAAACGTCCCGCAATCTTCATTCCCCTTTTGCCCTGAGATAACGTGCCCAATTATCGGTTCGTGCTCTTCGGAAGTTCTCGTTGAAGACAACGATTGGTAGACTGTAACTCGGTATCATGTAGCACTGGAAGAATCCCACCAGTAGACTATTCGGCGCATCACCAAATACCCGTTATCCGATCACACCGTTGCCAACGGCTAGGAGCCATAGGCTCCCATTGGAATTACGAAAAGCTGATTCCAACCAAGAGCTGTCATCTTGACGTAGAGGTTGGACTGGGATGCTATTACGACTCGGCGAGGGTTACTGTGGTTTAAACATTTCAGGAGGAAATAAGGCAAGAAGCCAGACGGATGAAACACATGTAGATCATGGGTTCTTGCTTACAAAAAAACAGATGATATCTGAATGTGAGGATCATTGGGTTACCATCGTCGTTTCTAGGTTGTTCACAGCCCGACCCAAAGCTGCCACCTTGGCGCGGTGATCGGGCTTGGGTGCTGCAATAACTGGAACTTTGTCCCACAAGGTGCGATCGTCAGAAAGGCCAAGGAGGAGCAGTCAGACAAACAGCAGCGACACCCCGTAGCAGTGATCTTAATGCAACGCGGTCTGGGGGCTAAGTTGTGCTGTTCTATGCGGCAGTTGTGTGAAAGCAATAAAGTGTTACCCCAGGCGAGTAGCATGTCCACATTGGACGAAGCAGCTATGCTGCCTCCCACGATGGAGGACGGCTTAGAAAAGATCGACCCTAAAACCGCAAACTCCGATCACCCAACGGTTGATCATGACCATCGGCGTATTATTCAATAGCGCCGAAATACTTTTGAAACTAAAAAGTCTGATGCTGCTCTGCTATGTGCCGCCGCATCAGGAGTGAGACAGTAATGCCTTATTCCCTGCACCGTCGGGTTAGGCCAGTCCCCTACAGACAAGTAGGTAAGACTATTGAGTCATCTGCTAAGGGCAGGGTCCCCAAATAAAACCCTACTGCCCACTGCCTCGCGGGTGAAATTTTTAAGTCAAAGGCTCAAGGTGGGGGTACCTCAACCAAACCTCCTTCCTCGGTCTGGGCAACCGGGAAGCATCGTTCGCCAGCACAGTTCTTTGTCCACCGATGTCCCTCCCAAACACCTTCCCACCACACAAGAAAATGTTGCTGTTGTTTATCTGACGGATGTGCCTTACGCATTCCACTGCCTATTAACAATGAACAAAGTAACGTTTGCGAAATCCTTTCCACATAGGAGCTTTCAACGTCCGCACTGTGTGTCGAATTGGCAATGATCGCCGAAACCTTGTACTCCCCTAAACACGCATACAAGAACTAAGCGTAGTCATGCATTTCAAAACGCCAAAAGTGAAATAAGATATTTCACATTTCACTCTCCATGTTCGCTTTAGAAGCGATGGTTCGTGGAATATATGGCGTGGGAGTCACACTCAGTCCCAGAGCTGAACAACCTTTGTTGGATCGGATTCCAGTGAACAGTCATTTTTGCGCCGTCTGGTTACCAGCTTAACCAAGCTCAATGCATCTCGACATTAAAAAATGGTACGTGTTTGTAATTTCGGTATATGCCCCAAAGAGGTGCAGTTCCTGTCACGAAGAGACTGGACCTTGTCGTGTGACGGTTATCGCACCTCAGCGATCCACTGAACTATACTGTGGAGTGTCCCCATGACACTTACCAGGTTGGTCAATGGTTAGAGGTCTGACGAACACAGTCTCCTGGCCCTCCAGGTTGGGAATTGGAACGTGGCGACTTGTTCCGTAGAAATGGTAGTGCATTTGCATTTCCCCCAAACACCGCTGCCTTGCGGTTAGGCTTTTGAACCAAATGCTTTGGTTGAGAACCCTAGTAGTCCTCCTGTCTATGTGTGGGTGCTCTGGCGCCCAGCCCTCGTACAACCATGACATTGTACGGCAGTAAAGCATCGGTATTGAACACTGATGATGATAATGATGGTGCAGTTCTGATGTCGAGGATACTTTCCTATCGAGAGTTATACGGTGTCATTCATCACACAAGAAGCACTGTCACTCATCATCATCAACCACTGATGATATGATGGTGCAGTTCTGATGTCGAGGATACTTTCCTATCGAGAGTTATACGGTGTCATTCATCACACAAGAAGCACTGTCTGTCATCATCATCAACATCATCATCAAT